CACGAACGCGATTTTCCTTCGTACGCCGGCGACCAGCATCACGCGGGGGTTTTCCCGGCCGCCCTGCGCATCCTTGTCGCTGTCGCACCAAAGCACATCGATGCGTTTGCAGCGTCGTGGCTGCGCGCGGTGCCGTGTACGATCGAGGCCAACCAATTGCTGCTGCTGCCCGCCATCCACGCGCTCGCAGGACAGAAGCTCGTGCGCGTGACGGTGCTCGTGGCAGCCAAATGCTTGGCAACGTTCGAGGCCGCGGGGGTCCGAGCGCCTCTTCCCGACCATGCAGATTTTAGCCTCCCCGACATTTTCGTCAACTCTACGCACTGCACGGCGTGCAGTCGCTTTCGCGACTTTCTCTTGGACAGATGCCTAACGACCATGGACGCGAACGAGCCGTCCGGCAAGTGCGTTGCCATTGCTCGGATTGTTGCCACCCATCCGAGCTGCCTCAAGCAGAGTAAATTCGGATCGACGTGGGTGATCAGTAAGCGGAAGGGCGATGTTGAGAGCTACGCAGATCTCATGGAGGCCCTTCAAGTCAAGCACCAACGCGAGAAGGATCAAAAGACTGTCTCGTGGCTCGGCATCCTCGTTGCACAAGCCCCCGTGCTCCCGTACGACCCAGCGCATGCGCCACGGAAGCGACAGCGGATTGTCGACTGCAAGTGAATGTGTACCACAAGAAACTTATGCAATTATATTCATGTGCGCAAAAAACCGCTTACCCGCTGCATGATAAGAGTACTTAGCTAGCCAAAAAAAGCGCCAAAAACCGAGCTGGCCATGCCACCAACGGTCTCCAGAATGGTGCCTACAATCTCGCCGAAGCTGCCATCGCAATCGGCTCCGTCCACGGTGTGCGGGTTGCTGAGCGTGCCCGAGTGCTCGCCAATGGCATCGTACAGGTTGGTCGTGCCGTGCACGTCTTCCACGCCGTCACTCGACCACAGCGGATCCATCGGATCGCCGACATCAACTTGAAACTCGTCGAGTCCGTCGTCGCCGAAAAGTCCATTTTCGCCCAAAAGTGCTTCGGCCATGTGGTGCACGCGGTACGTATCCATGGCCAAGCCCAGCAGGAAATGCATGCCGGTGCCCAACTTGAGCACGGCATTGATCTTGTCGTCGGCACGGAGGGAGCACCGACAGGCGTCATGCGTGTCGTCCGCGTCTTGGGCGTCAAGTGCAGCTGGAACGGTCCACGCGACGAGTCGATCTCGACGCACGTCCGGCACAAGTTGTAGTTGCGGGTCGAGAGCGACCGGTACCGAATCCCGCGGATCGGCATCGTTCTGCAGTCACTGCAGCTAACGTTGTCGTGCACGGCAGCCGTTTCGATCTGTGTGAAATCGCCAGACCCTTTGCCGCTGCTGTAGCACATCGGACACAGGTTGTCTTGTGTCGACTTGTAGCGCGTGCCTGCGATCGCCAGTACGTTGCACTCGGAGCAGCTCACGCCTTCGTGCACGGCCGGCATCTGCCACACGAAAAACGGACCGTAGACGTCGGTGCGCTGGGCGTGGCAGCGGGCGCAGAAATCCGTCGTCGGGTCCTTGGTTGACTGGTACCGCGGCCCCACGATCGACGGCGCCTTGCAGCCTTGACACGCCACGCCCGGGTGTACATACGGTGGCTCAATGCGAATGCGAAAGGGCCCGAGGGACGAATTGTGTCGCCCCGAGACGGCGCAGGACCCGCAAAGATTAACAGTCGGCTTCGTTTCCGACATGACGCGCGGGCCGACGATCGGACTCACGTGACACCCAAAACAGGTCGTGCCGTGGTGCGTGGCGGTGCCGTGCAACACGTTAAAGGGACCGTGTGCTCGGTTGAACTTGCCGCTGCGAGCGCACAAATGGCACATGTGAAACTCCGGGTCCTTGGTCGACGTCGCGAGCGGTCCAACGATGGGCGAGACGTTGCATCCGCCGCACCGTGCCGAGTGCGTTGGTGGTGCGTTGTGCATGGCAAACGGGCCGTGCGTACGAGGCCAGTCGGGTTTCAACACGCAAAACCTGCAGAGGTCGACGCTAGGCACCTTGGTCGACTGGTAACGCACACCGACGATCGGGAAGGCCTTGCAGCCTTCGCAGGCGACGGGGTGCTCGGCAGGCACGACTGTCGACATGGTGCTGGCAGCGGATATTGGGAAATGAGGTTGATTGTCAAGTCAAACGAATGGGTTTTCATCACAACGAGCGCGCGCAAGCGATGATATATATGGTACCGGTATGCCACTTCCAACATGTCGCTCATTAAGGATTTTGCGTCAAAGCGAGTATGTACACGTATAAATTCAGGCGACGAATCGGGCGATGTGTATGTGAACGTGGGGCTCGATTCTGGAAGTACAAGATGTGAGGTTGCGCGACCTCGTTGGCGTCCCACTGTGACGTAATGGAACATTTTGTGACCACGTTAGCTCTGCACAACGTTAACGTTACTACCTCGTAGACTGCGACTTCATCAAGGACGCGTGGAGCACGCTTCACGCCGTCACGGTCCCTCTGGGCGTGACCTTGCCGACAACCCTCTCCGGCTACCTCTACTCGACGCCCCAGACGGCGTCCAACATGCACCAAGCCGCGTTCCGCTACCTCTGGCCCGTGCTCCGCGCCTGCGTCTGGTTCAACGTCTGGCGAGTCCGGAACGATCGCGTCTTTCGCGCCGACCTACCGCTGCCAAGTCCATGGACGATTGCCGTCAAAGCGGCGCGTGTCGCTCAACTGCACTTGCACCACAGCCTCGTTCAAGAGCCGGAGCAGCCTGCTCCTCGTCGACTTCTTCGGCTCCTCGCCCAACACGAGTGGCCGCGACGTCACCTTGTCCCGCGGATCGCGCTCCTGCCTCCGCCAGCCTAAATCAAG